CAGTCTTGCGTGCTTCACATAGACATATGAATTGCCATTCATCGTCGCATACAGAAGAAACTTTTTTCAACAGGACTTTCGATACGCATTTCCCTTCAAGTTATATTCGTTTTCTATGGTTTTGTTTGATATTAGTTATCGGATTAGCAGCATTTGCTGCTGGTGAAGTATTTTTCCTTTCTAACATTATTAAAAACTATATTAAATAATATAGGCATATGCTAGACTATATTTAAAAACATTACCTCACAGTAGTACAGATGCCCTTCTCTATGTATATTCGTAAGTACTTTTTTATTTTAAATTATATTAACTTTATAGTTGGGTTTCAACAGTGTATATATTAGATATGATTACTGTCTGGATTTTGAGTTATAAAATAAAAAGCGAATCATTAGCATGGGTTTTTAAACTATATTATGCAATGACTTTACAGGTTATTTCTTATATTTTAGATATGTTTTAAACTTAAATATTTAGATTTATGTTCGAAATCTATACGCTAGACTTCATTCACCTCAACAATTTGCTGTAATACAGGGAGCAAGCTCGTTTACAGTAATCATTATCGTCCCAGCTCTTATGACAAAATGGGCATACAAAGCATATTTATTCTTCACTAAAAGTCAAATCGATTACCAAGAATATAAAAGAAACTCTGGAAGATCATTTTATATTAAAACATTAGTATTTATTTATTTTATATTTAATAAATTTGCTAATTATTAAGGCACAAAACATAACTATGATTTCATTTCTAGGATGGGTTTGCATTCTTCACTTTGGACCCAATAAATCTGTATATCCTTATTTCACATTTAGCACTGAAGTTCCATCTAATGATGACGTATATTCGTTTAAACTAACCTTTTTTGCTACGCTGGTAGTTTGGGCATCTGAACTCATTAGCTCATTTATTACAAGATTAATAATGAAATTGTTTTTTAAATTTGAAGTTACGAATGAAGCATTGAAGGATATGATGGAATTCCCTGATATTTTACCAGCTGCACTTTCCGTATGCATCCATGTATTACAAAATATGCTATTTTCAATTATTCATTTAGAGTTTACATAATTTCACAAATTAAAATTTTCAAAGCAAAAACTGATATTTACGTATAAAAGCAAAGCATGCACTTTCTAAAACATAGTTTTATAGTTGCATAATCTGATATTAAATAAATTAAAAATATTTCATTTTTTCAGCACATAATCTTCCTATATTATTATAATACTATCTACAATTATAAAATAACAAAACTTTAATTTCCACAATTTTTAGCACGAAATCATTAAAGCCCTTTAGAGAAAGCATCTGCTTTGATAGTTGCGACATAGATACCAAAGAATCTCAAGTAGCCATATTATTATTATTAACATTATCCATCGTCGATATCGGAGAAGATACTGAATTAAATACAGTACTTTCTTCGCTTAATTCAAATTTTAGTTCAATATCCTCATGTTTTACTTCTACAACTCCCCCATTATACTCAGACTTAACATCAAAATCATTATTTTTTGAATTATTTTCCAATTCTTCAGCTTTAAGCCCAGCTTTAGAAGAGTCTTGAAAATTAGAATTATTTTTTAGAAAATCAAAAAAAGTATAATTGCGACGATTCCCATCACCCTCATCATCAGAATCACTAAACTCGTCAGATCGTTGAGGATTTTTATTCCATAAAACTTAAAAAATTAGATTTGCACATATAACAAAAAAACCAAACTAACCATTTTTGCGTTTATCAGGGTCTTCTTCATCTTCAGAATCATTATTTCTATCCGGAGGAACATTTTGCATCTGAACACTAGGAGCAAATTTTGTTCTTGAAAGATTCTTTAAAACTTCTATTTTTATTTTTTCCAAATATTCTTTTGAATTCATATTCTGCATATTACTTGCAGGAACATTAAGATCATATGTAGGCCCATAATATTCATAGTAATCATTAAGTGGCATTTCTATAATTATATGAATACTAATATAATAAAAAACATACTAACCAGGCCCTATCTCAACATCATTAATTATACCTGTTTCATAAGTCCATGTGCGAGAAACATTTCGCATTGTATATCCACCACCTCCTAAAACTAATGTAGGTAATCCAAATTTCTTAACGAATTTAACACATGCAGCATGCCCTTTCATACTCAAATTAAAACAACCAAGACGATCTCCTGCTAGGCTATCTGCCCCGCATTGTAAAACAACAGCACCTGGACGATACCATTCCATACATGCTGAAACAACTGGTTCAAAAACTAAAGCATATGATTCATCATCAATACCATCACGCAAAGGAAAATTGACAGAATAATATTTCCCTTTTCCAACCCCAATATCTCTAAGCTCACCTGTACCAGGAAAATATTCTCCATATTTATGAAATGAACATGTCATAACCCTATCAGTAGTATAAAATGCTTCCTCCACACCATCCCCATGATGCACATCTATATCAATATAAAGAACCCTAGGATAATACCTCAAAAGTTCAATAATGCCCAAAACAATATCTTACAAAGAATTAACAATAATTTAGCAATTTTCTTTGAAATATGCAAACCATTTACATAACAAAATCCACTGGCTTCAGATTTTTTTGCATGATGCAATCCACCCGCCCAATTTAGTGCAATATCACATTTACCTCTATTAAGTCTTGCAGCACCCTCTGAAAACGCAAAAATAAAAAGGAAAAAAAAATAAATGGGACATACCCATGCTTCCACCTCCACTAATGGCACAAAATTCAAACAATCCTTCAAAGACAGGACAGTCATCTCCAACATTAACTATAAAATATAAAAAAATTAAGACAGAAAAAACAGAAATTAAAAAACACACATTTCCCCTGTTCTTTGATATAATTATCCATATTTTCAGGTGTGACCCGAGAAAGAAACTCAATATAATCATCTGAATGAAACTGACACATTTCATGTTTTGTTGCTGGTTTAGCTCTCTAAAAATTGGAATAAAGGAAAAAAAGCACAGCAAGGACATACATATATCTCCATTTTCTTGTATAGTCCATAATTCATGATGAGAGAGTGGGTCATTCTAATACGATGGGGTTTCATAGGATGACCAGCTCCATAAGCATAATTTCTAAAAATAAGAGAAAAAAACCAGGAAAAAAAGAGAGATAATACCCAATATCTGCTACAGAATAAGAGAATTATGTTAGAAACAACTTCATAATAAATAAACAAAGTTACAATCATAAAAGTAAGCAACACCTAAATAATGATTAGATAAGCTATTTTTAATGCAAAAAAAAGATACGTCTAGGAGATTGTCCATTCAAAGCCATTGGATCCAAAATCTTCTCCTGGTTAGCCATCAATTTCCTTCAAACAAGGCCTTTTTTTCCTGAGCACAAAAGGTAGGTTGAGAACGAGAGATCAGCAGAAAAAAGCCAGATTATATATAAAATCTTGGCATAGTTAAAAAATGCAAGAAAATAGCCCATAAAACCAAATCTCTATTTAACCAAAACTATTATTTAAATATCTGCAATAAATATAAAATATTAATCAAGATCAAAAAGTTGAAAGTCTGAACCAAAAAAACCAAAAATATAGGAATATCATGACCTCATCAAGAGATTGATGTCAAGAATAATGTGCTAAAAAGGCCATTGACAGGGTCTGTCACAAACAATTCACCAGTCGTGTAGAAATCGACGCAAAATGGATAAATATAGAATAGTTAGATAGTAAATAAAGCAATTGAAAAAGAAAAGCCAAGATAGAAATAGCATAGAGTAGTTAGACTAGAAAAATTAGAAAAAATCAATTAACAAAAATCCCAAGATCAAAAACCCAAAATTTTTATAAAAGCAAAAATTGGCTGTTTCATAGTTTATAGTCAAGAGGAAAGAAATATCCATCAGATAGTTGTTAAATACGGAGAATCAACAGTAGAATTAGCAGTGATTTGCATAAAGGATGCACGCAGTTTGCATGATAAACCAGTCATAATTATCTAGCCATACCGACAGTAAACATGTGTGTTAACCAGGCTGTCCAAAGCCAAAGAATTATATCCCAAAGATTAATTGAAGCGTTATAGGCCCCGCAATTTCTTTATAATAGCCAAAACAGTAGAAAAACAAAACCTGAATCTGAAAATCCATTTAGATGTAAAATGTGAATGTGCTAGAAAAAAGTTTGAAACCAAACAAGTCTAGAAAGACCAGAGGAGCCAAGGGATGTTAAAGAGTGCTCTCTAATGCAGAAAAACAAAGATTACATAACGATTAATGCAGATATTAGAGGGAGGAGAGCAGAGCCAACTTGTTTAGAGCAAAGAGAGCCTCTCCATTGCTATTAAATTTTCCATCGCCTGAAATATCATTTAATTTAGATTTCATGTGATCATTCAATGATTATCATTTCCAAAATAGCCATGAGATAAAGTCAAAGCCAAAGTTATTTGAGAAAGCGACTATTCATAAAGATATCAGTTTTATTGTTGCAAAATAACAAAGATAGGCAATTAAAAGTAAAATCAATGATTCCTGGGCCAGATCGATAGAGTTTTTGACGATCAATCGCATCTAAAAGTACACAAAAAGAAGAGTTTGTTATAAAATGTAATCAAGAATAAATGAATTCCCTTATTCCTATGAAATCCGCTTATAATAATCGCTTTGATGAGCAACACCGAACGATAAAGTACAGAGCCTGATAATGAATTTAATAAAAATTTTAAATAAAATCCCAAAAATAAAGCCGTGTCTTGATAAAAGTAAAAAGTATGATAAAAACGCATTGATCTATTATACACAAACCCTCATAAAACAAGCCCATAACAAAGCTCAAAAAACATAAATAGAAAAACTTGTATACAATAAAGAGATTTCACTCATTAACAAGCCCATTTATGCCATTTCTGTAAATGGCAGATGACACATTGTTTATTAACAAGATCTAAACTAATATTAATACCTCTTTATAATTAACAAAAGGGCCCCCCTTAAGAAGCCCGATTAACTCAGTTGGTTAGAGTGTTGTGCTAATAACGCAAAAGTCACAGGTTCGAGCCCTGTATCGGGCAGCCCGGCTTTTTTCTATAAGCCCCCCCCACATAAACAAGTGTATAAAACCTGACCACTCTTTATACACGCCCTTATTGACTTGGTTAGAGGGCTTTGTTATATTTGCTTGAGACAGGTTTATTTGGGCGGATAAAGGATCAGCTCGCAGACCCATTGTGATGAGGAATATGAGCGAATGAGCTCAAGATTGTAGAAATTTTTTAATATATTGATGAAAAACATTTGTCAAATCATACAGCTTCATAGCCAGTCTGTTAAAGTCCGGCTTTTTTTTTCTTGAAATAACCTTAATCTGCTTGTTTTAATGTATTAAAGACAAGGAAGAACATGTCTAGTAAGGCAGGTCAAGGCTCAAGTTCTAAAAAAATAATCCATGCAAAGCTTGCAGAGCTTCGGGCACTTAAAGCGGCAGGGAAAACACGGCTTCAATCATATAAAGTAACAGAAGAAGATCAGGTCTATGATTTGGTGGATGAGAAAGGATATCGCGCAATTGTTCGTCAGCGCCTTAATGAGGAGGATTTTGTGGTGGATGATCATGGAGAGGGGTACGCAGACAATGGAATAGAAGAATGGGGGAATAGTGAGATAGAAATGTCTAGCGAAGAGGAGAAAGTATATTGTAAGTTTTAAATATACAGAGGCAAGAGTTTATATGTGCTTTTTAGACAAGGAAAAGGAAAAAAAGGCAAAAAGTGGGAAGATGGAACAGTTTTTTAAAAAAAAGACAGCAATTCCAACAATTAAGCCTACAACAGAAGAAGATATGGACTTTATGGCAGATATTCTTGGGAAGATAGACAGCGAGGAGACAGAATTGATGTTGAAGAAAAAAGAACTTGCTTCTATTCCTCAAAAACGTCTTGCTTCACCTCCATCAAGCAATTCTAGGGCTTATAATCGATTAGAAAAGGCTAGTGCAATGTACAGAAGACAAAAAGTTTCAAGTTCGCCAATGCGTCCAGAAAGTAATGATTATGATCTACCTAGTCATTCATCAAGCGATATTATGTCGTCAAATTTAGCATCCAAGACATATGCACTTTCATCACCTATTAAACCAACATCTGAAAAACTTAAAACAGAGTCAGAAAATGAAGATGACTTTGAAGTTAAAGAACTCGCACAATATACTTTTCTAAAAAATAAAGATACTTTTCATAAGGAATCGAGAACAAATCCAATTACTCTAACAAAACCTTCCATTACAGAAACCAAACCCTTTCCAATGCTTGAGAATGTAGATGCATCGTCATGGTTGAATCTAAACAATACTTTAAATGTCGTAAATAACCCAGAAAATTCATATTATACAGGCATAAAGGAAAATTTTCGAGATTTCATAGAAGAAGATAATTCTTTGAAGATGTATTGGCTAGATTATACAGAATTCAACAATTCTTTGTGTCTTTTTGGGAAAACATATAATAAAAAAACTAAAAATTATGTCAGTTGCTTTATTCAAATACACGGTATAATGAGAAATCTATATTTCTTACCTAGAGATTTTAAATTGGAAAATAAAGAATCAAAACAAGAAGTTTCTATGAGTGATGTTTATGAAGAAGTCTCCAATTTACTTGCGAGATTTAAAATTAATGAATTTAAATCAAAGTCAGCAACTAGAAAATATGCTTTCGAAATTCCTGATGTACCATATCAATGTGATTATTTAAAAGTGTTATATCCATATACGGAACCTTCTCTTCCTCAAGATATTTCTGGAAATACATTCAGTCGTGTATTCGGCATCAATACACCATTATTTGAACAATTTGTATTATACAAGAGAATAATGGGCCCTTGTTGGTTACATATTAAACAACCATGTTTTGAAATTTGCCAGAATTTTTCCTGGTGCAAGCTTGAATTAGGAGTCATCAATCCAGAATACATTTTTCCTATTTCAGAATCAGACCTCAAATCTCCTCCATTGACTCTTATGAGTATTGCTATAAGAAAAATTATAAATGATAAGGAGAATAAACAAGAAATTGTTGTTGCAAGTATGAGAATATACGAAAATATATCCTTAGATGATCCAACACCGGCAAATAATCTACCCTGTCAAACATTTACTATTGTTAGGCCCATTCAACAATTTTTTCCTATAGGATTTGAATCTTTAGTTAAAACTCATAAAGGAACAATTAAAATTGAAAAGACAGAATCTTCACTTTTAAATTGTCTCTTAACAAAGATTCAAAATGTAGATCCTGACATTTACTTAGGACATGAATGGGACAATCTAGATCTTAATATTTTATTATCAAGAATGAAAGAAAAAAAAATAATGAATTGGCACCGAATTGGCCGTCATAGGAAGAAAGAATGGCCTAAAATATCAGGTCGCTCAGGTATATTTGCAGAAAAACTATTAATCTCTGGTCGTTTATCATGTGATCTCGCAAATGAATTAGGCCGTTCTTTGATTAAAGCTCAATCTTGGACATTATCTGAACTCTGTGATCTTCATTTGGGTATTAAACGACACGAATTTGATGATAAAGAAACAATTCTTTCATGGACCAATACGGCAAAAGGAATGATGGAATATCTTATACACTGTGAAGTAGATACCTATTTTATTGCAGCCATTGCTTTTAAAATACAAATACTTCCTCTTACAAAACAATTAACAAATTTATCAGGAAATAACTGGGCAAAAACATTATCAGGGTCTAGAGCAGAAAGAAATGAATACATTCTATTGCATGAATTTAATCGAGAAAAATACATTTGTCCAGATAAAGCTCTCATAAAATCCAAAATTTTAGATATTGAAGAAGAAGAAGAAGAAGAACTAAGCATTAACACTTCATTAAAAAAAAAGGACAAATATAAAGGAGGCCTTGTATTTGAACCAATCAAAGGATTATATGACAAATATATACTTCTTATGGATTTTAATAGCTTATATCCCAGCATTATTCAAGAGTATAATATATGTTTTACGACGGTTAATAGACACGATTGTGAAAAAGAGGACGAAATACCGGAATTTCCAGATGAACAAGCACCACAAGGAATTCTTCCAAGATTAATTGCAACCTTAGTCAATAGAAGAAAACAAATAAAAAACCTTTTAAAAGATAAAAATGCCTCAATTGTTCAAAAAATACAATGGGATATCAAACAACAAGCTTTAAAATTAACTGCAAATTCTATGTATGGTTGTTTAGGATATACAAAGTCAAGATTTTATGCCAAACCATTAGCTGTCCTTATTACATACAAAGGTAGAGAGATTTTAAGAAATACTAAAGAGCTTGCAAGCAATTTAAATCTTCAAGTATTCAATAATAAATATTAAAATAAATAATTTTAATTTTATTAGGTAATATATGGGGACACAGACTCTATTATGATTAACACAAATATTGAAACATATGAAGAAGCAATAAAGATTGGCAATGAATTTAAAAAACATGTGAATGAGAGATATAAGTTTCTTGAAATAGATATTGATAATGTTTATCAACGAATGTTATTACATGCAAAAAAAAAATATGCTGCCTTACATTTAGTAGAAATTGATGGGAAAATGGAGCCTAAAATTGATGTAAAAGGACTAGATATGAAAAGAAGAGAATATTGTATTTTAGCAAAAGAAGCTTCTTCGTAAGAAAAGTTACAGATTATATTTTTTCTAATATACATAGTTATGTTTTAGATCAAATATTATCAGGCAACCAAACGGAATATGTTGTAGAAAAAATACATGATTTCCTTAGGGATTTTGCAAATAAAATGCGTGATGGCAAGTTTCAACCTGCAAAATTCATTATTTATAATGTTTTTAAATTAACAATATAATTAATCTATATTAATATATTTTTAGAAACTTGGAAAAAATCCAGAAGAATATCCAAATGGAAAATCAATGCCTCATGTTCAGGTTGCTCTTAAAAAGAAAGAGAAAGGAGAAATTGTAAAAGTTAATGATATTATTGCATATATTATTACTTGTAATGAAAACGATAACAGGCATGTCGCAGAAAGAGCATGCCCTCCTCAAGAAGTAATAAAATCTTCAAGCATTAAAATTGGTATTTATTTCTAAGATATATATTAATTTATTAAATAAAATAGACTACAACTATTATTTAGCAAATCAAATTCTTCCTCCTATAGAACGACTTTGTGGACCTATCGAAGGAACTGATCGTACAAGACTTGCTGAATGTTTAGGACTTGATATCAGGAAATATCAAATCAATGAAGTTAATAGCGAATATAAATTTTGTACATATGAATCACGTTTAACGGACGAAGAACGTTTCAAAGACGCAAAAGGTTTAATTCTAACATGCAATGAATGTAATGAAAAAATGGACTTTAAAGGGCTTGCAAAATCTAAAGTATCTTCAAACAACTATATTTATTTTATTTAATCAAGTTAGGAATTTGTAAATCTAGAAGGAATTTTTTGTATATGTGGAAAAAAGTTCCCTATCTATACGATTAGTGCACAACTAGAGTCACAGATTCGAAACCAGAATGATATTTATTATAATGCATGGCTATTATGTGATGATCCATCATGTGCAAATCGTACTCGACAAATTGGTGTATACGGAAAACGATGCTCAATCAAAAACTGCCAAGGCCAGATGCGTTTTGAATACTCAGATAAAACTCTCTACAATCAATTACTTTATTATGATAGTCTTTTTGACGTGGATAAAGCACGAGCTATTGCCAATAATTTCCCCAACCCAGAATCCATTCTCATCTGCGCAGAACATAATCGTGAGCGATTTGAAAAATTAAGATATGTCACAAAGCTTTATTTAAACCATAATAAACGACGTTTTGTTAATCTTCAAAGCATTTTCAGTTTTTAATATTTTTTAAACGAAATTAAACACAAATTGCCAGAACATTCAACCCATCATCAAACATCTATTAAGAAATTTAAATACTCATAACAAATCTTAGATATCTGCATGTAATGAAAGCATGTCACGTGACCATAAATAAAGAATATGTATGTAAT